CTACATCTGTGTGTGGGTGTCTTCGAGTTTATCTTTGATTCCCAGAATTCATCGGCTTCCGACAGTTTTTCATAGGGTACCCTCCCCCCATAAGCCTTAATGCATCAGCGACACATTTAGGTCAGGCTGTCACACACAGTTGCGTGTATGCGTGTGTGTGTGTGTGTGACCTTTGAGGGCATTAAGTTCAAAAGTCGTACAATTTTGTGCCCCACAGCATTTGACATATGTATGTACGCACACTCGACCATTCCAGAGGCCATTCATTTGCATGTTTGTGCTGTGGGATATCCGCTTGGGGTTCTCGGCTCGGCTCGGCTTGGATCAGATCGGATCGGGCGTTGGTGCGCGCGCCGTGTGTGTGTGTGGGCTCTACGTGCTCATTGCGTTGTTCTTGGGGCACAACGTGACAAACGAAAGTTCAATTCAACCCAAGATAGACACGAAAGAATCACAGCTATAATGGCTGGAAGCAGCCGCAGCGACAACGACAACGACAAAGGCATACAACATTTCATTTATATTGTTTGATATAAAAGTCTTTTGATTGATTTCAGTCGCTTATCTGCTTTGTAAAGCGATTTCTTTTGCAGGCAGCCTTAGCAGCAGCAGCAGCCTTAGAGGGCGCACACACAATGGCTTTGGCACATGGCCCCCACCCAATGAGGTAACTGGAGACGAGGCAGAGGCTCTGAGGCTGAAGCAAGACAATGTTTAGCATCGCAAATTGCCATGACTCTCGTCTCCAAAAATCGATGGTAATTTGAGAAAATACTGTACTTCCAAAGAGTTGCTCCCATTACTGCTGCAAATTCAAATAAATTAACATTTCTTGGAATTCTTGTGTTTCGTTTTTCCGCTTAATGAAGGATGCCATGCCGCGTGGGTGAAGCTGCCAGCGGATCCGGTGCTAATGAAGCCTTATTCGCCTTATTTCTTATTCCAATGAAAGTTGTCAAAAATAAATTGTTAAGTAGTTCTTCTTATTGCATAATTCTCAGGCAATTACCTAATACTGGAATAAGCAGAATCAACTCTGTTTATGGCTTCAGAAAAAGATTCACACAAAGACTGTCTTTTTTTTATTGCTAAAAATCGCTGCTTTTATTCAAATTTCGTTGGGGGAATAAGTCACGCTATTCCCTCGTTTTGCAAAAGGCAAAGCAAACAATGTCCGCATAAGCTCACACATTAGTATTTGGGAACACACCTCACATTGCCTCATGCTCGTGTGTGTGTGTACAAGCGATATCTGACAGGACTGGGTACGGGGTCTACCGCTATCTGCAGACATTATACAATACATCGACGACAAATGATACGGTTCCGACTAACTACTCGTTTCTGAGGTTACCCCGCCCCCCCATACATAGTTTCTGCTGCTGGTGTTTATTTATTCGATAAGAGCCAAAGCCTCCCCTACAGAACCCACGAGCTTCGATAACAAAAGAGGGTTGAGGCCGGAGCCAAAGTAAACAAACTTAAAGAATTGTTAAAAACTTTCAGCCAATGTGCCACAACAAATTTCGTGATGAATTCTTTTTTAATCAAACATTTAAAACTTTTTAATAAGTGCACAACTCGAAATAAAATGGAATAGCAAAAACGAGAACGCAAAAACTTTGGCCTCTGGCGCTCTTAAGTGCCCGCTCAGGCCGCCACCACCACCAGGTTAGCTCCTTCACTTTCTCCTTTCGGCCACACTACACCGCCGCCACTCCTTCCTGGCCTGAGTGCTAGACCCACTTTTCATCGCTAAACTGGGAAAAAACTTATTTTGACTTGCTGAAAATCCACAAAACTTTGTTTTATTCTATTTTTATTATTCGCAAGTAAACGAAGAGATAAAAACAAATAACAAGAAATAAGAGGCCTGTTGAGTGTTCCGACTAATTGATACCCTCTTTTTGGATTTATTTGGAAATTGTATTGACATCTCTTCCTCTCCTCTGTTAGACAATTCCAACAATTCCATCCGTTCTGTTTTACTTGGATTCCTTGCTTTTATTGCGTGCATCAAAGAGCTTAACAAACCCAATATACCCAAAGAGAGTTGCATATGGACGTCATTTGTGCTGGGTGGGGGTCGGCGGGTGAGCAGAGCTTAACGGTTTGTTTTGCCAAACGAACCAAAAGCGAAACAACGGTCAAAACAACCTTTGAAATATTAATGGCCAACGCGAACTTCAGCTCCAATTGGAGCCAGTCCAGGCGGCAAGACAGGTCGAAACGGGGCGCATATAGCGTGCTGTCAATTGCAGCTAGTTGTAAGGAAGACCAAATGTTAGATCTCACGAAGGGAGCGAGGGAGGGGCAGAAATGTGCAAAAATACCTCAGAGTGGCAAGTGGTGTGGGGTGGGAGGACAAGATGCTACATGTTTGAATGCCTTTTGAAACGCCGACAACTTTGACTTTCTTGTGGTGTGAATAAACTTTGGCAAAATAACGACAACACACAAAAGCCTCTCCCCTCCCCCACCCGCCCAATAATGTTGCAATAGTTCAAGTTTTTCCATGCCGTTGCATATTTTGCCACAATAAAGTAAGAGGCTGCAACCTCTATGCACAGTGTACACATACATATGTATGTGTGTATGTACTTATGTATATTTAAGCCCGTGAGTATGTACATGTGTATGTATGTGTGTGCTTACCTGTTCATTGTGGCGGGCGGGGGGTTTGAGTGCATGTATTTAAAATTGCAGCATAAACAACTTTAATGAAAACGTCGACGGCTACGTTGACGCTGACGCTGACTGCGCGGAGATCAGTCTTTTTTTACAGTTGCAGGCGGAGGCTTTCACGGGTCAGGGGGGTTGTGCATGAGCGTGCGAACGAGACACAAAGACACTGCACCACGGCAGTGTAATTATCTTGCCTGAAGCTTCGAGCTGGAGACAGCTTGACAGACACGTGAGTAAATTGCTTGCAGGGAGCGGATGCCTGAGACTCTTTCTCTCTCTCTCTCTCTCTTTGGCAAAAGCAAAAGTTCACTTTCGCTGCCCTCGCCTTTTACTTGTAGTTGTAGTTTTTTTTATTTTGTATTTTTTTTTGTAATTGTAGTTGTGTAGCGTTTGCAACTGTTGTTGTTTTTTGTGGTTGTTGTTGGGGCGGTGGACATGCAATCCAATTACTACTGTAAATTGTAGATTGTTGCTGGCACGTAATATTTAATTATCATTTGCAGCACACACACACAAATTTCTCTTTGCCCCGCGGCGGCTTACTGTTTTAGACTGTTGCCTTAACGTTTCTTTTTTGTAAACGAAAGCGACGCCTTTAGTTTTTTGACACTTCTTAAGCAGCAGCAGCAGCAGCACCAGCACCAGCTCGCTCGCTCCGCTCTCACTCTGGCTGTCTCTCTCTCCTCTTAGCCACTCTACTCTCCCGCTACGGCGACGCAGGTAACACACACACACACAGCGCTCTCTCTCTCCCACTCTCCCTCGATCAGACGCACACTTGTGTCGCAGCAAACAGGTAGCAGGCACTCACACACACATGCGCAAACGAAGTAAACGAAGCAGAAACGAAACGCCTGAGAGACGCGTTTTTTGTTGTTGTTTCATTTGCACAATTTTCACAAATTTACTCGTCAAATTGGTTTATTCCAATATTTTGGAAAACTTTTAATGCTCAAAGGGAAGCCACACACACACGTGATATTCCACCAGCTCTGCACTTTGATCTCGCCCAGTGAGTGGATCGCTTTTGGCCCGATCAAATCGAATTTCTTATTTGCCGTCTTCCGTTAACACGCGACGCCGACGCGCACTGCGCTCAAAAGTCGTTCTTCGACTGAAAACGAAGTTGTTGCGCTTGCAGCCCCACAGACAACCGACGTCGTCGTCGTTGTCGTTGTAGTTGTAGTTGTCTGCGTCGGCGTCGGGCCGTCAATGGTCAGCGCTTCACAGTTAGTCGCCGCTGCTCTCTGCGGCGTCGCAAACCTCTCATCTCATCTACTCTCTGGCTCTGCTGGTGGGGGGAGACAGCGATAGCCAGTAGATGATGGTTCAAGTCGCGCTATTCCGACTATAAGATACCCGTTAGTCGGAAAAATGGCTTGAGCAGCAGGCATAAAGCGATCCAATTGGAATTAAAATTGTGGCAAAGCCATTCTCTGAGCGACATATGGGAATATTGTAAAGGAGAATGTCGGGTTTTCTCCCTCATTCTGAGTGTAGTAGAGCGTACGACTGTTTAGTTTGGAAGTGTTACCCTGTATGACAAATAAGATGATATCAAATATGGGAAGCACTTCCATTTGCAGTCTATTTTCTGATATCGTAAGCAGTAAACTGTATCCCCCCCGCCAGTGTCGCAGAGGAAACTCTTTTGTTTGTTAATCCATTCACAATACTATCGCAAACATTTTTCCGCGGAAGTTCAGATTAAAAGAGTTTGTTGAGCTTGCGGATTTGCGTTGATCGAAGAGTTTTGTACTCATCACAGTAGTACTCATCATCCTGTAGTTCCCAGGAAAAGTTTGTTCTTGAGGTACTTAAAGTTGGCTAAGGCTTGAGTCCTTTACGGTTAGTAATTCAACTTTCAGCAGCTCGAAACTTTCCGCTAAAGCTGGTTGAAAATTACAGAGTTAAGGCTTTAAAATGCTGCATAATGATGCAATTTTCCGTCAGTTTTGCTGATTTATTCCGCTCGCTGTCCTGCTGTCCTGTCGTCCTGCTGGGAAATCGCTCAACAGCGAGCTCTGAGATTTTGAGCCGTGAGTCACGGCTCTTTGTCCAAGTGGCAATCGATTTAATGCAGCGCCTGTCCGGGCATCCCATCCGGGCCGGGCCGGTCCGGCCGAGTGCGTATTTGAATTTCAATCAGGTGGCTGCAGCGAAATAAATAAGCCGCAGGCACTGAACCTCTGAGCCACTGATGATGAGGACCACTTCCACTGCCACTTCCCTATCAATATGGCACGCATCGCCCGTGCTGCATTTGTAACTAAGTAGGAGTCCCATCCCCTTTCCTCTCTCTCCCTACTACTCACCGTTTATAATTCTGGTCAGCTTGGAGCGTCGGGTGGAGGATGGACTCAGCATGCTCTCCCGCCGGCTGCTGCTGGCACTGCTGCTCCCGTTTCCTGGATGCTGGTGATGATGGAGATGGCCGCCACTCGAACCCGTCGCGGAGCCAGTTCCAGAGCCGAAGCCCAGGTCGCCGTAATTGACATTCAGCTGGGCGTGCGCCTGGCCGCCGAATGTGGTGCCGGTGGAGGATGTCGAGTACAGACTGCTGGCAGAGGGACGCTTGCTGAACGGTGAGGGCGAGGGCGAGAAGCCACCACCACCTGGCGCCGTGACGGCCAGCGAGGGGCGTGGCAGGTCACTAAACACAATCTCGGCAAAGGAGTCGATGCTGGCCGAGCGCTGAAGTGCACTGCTGTCCTTGCGCCTGCAAAACACACAAATCAAAGATATGGAAAAGGATGAGCCACTGCCAGTACTAGTTGGAGGGGGGGTGGGTGGGTAAGTGGGACTATAGTATAGAGATCTGCGGAAAAGTGGCGACAGCTTATAAAGTATCGTAATTACTTCATGCTGTCGGACATTTTAATGAGCTACCCACAGACCATTAAGTGTTGCCAACTTCTCCCGTTACCCCCGTTACCCCCCGTTACCCCCGTTACCCTATTGCCCCGTTGCGGTCACTGGCCGGCCTAGTTGGCCATAATGTGACCGTTTTTTATGGCCACGCTGGTGGAGAAAGCCCCGCCAGACAGCTGGCGCTAGTGCCGTGCTGTGGGTAATGCTGACAAAGTTGACGCATGCCGGTTGCTGGTGCATACTCGTATCTGAACATATTTCTTCATTCAAGCTAAATAGTTTTCTACAGTTTTCTTCAGTTTCCCTCTGGCCGCTTGCTTTTTCTCGGCCTTTCTTGGGCATTTTCTTGCCCATGACTTGCCATGTTTATGGCCTGCAAATCGTGACGAGTGATGGAGCTGATGGGCAGACCCAGAGGTCACAACAAACTGCAATTTACGGCTTACTTAGCGGCTTGGTAATGGATTAATTTGCCCATTGGGCAGCATTACTTGAATGTTATCTTTAATTTAATAAGATTGAAATAAAATTCCCTGAATATTTCTTGAGTTTTTTTATGGTTAGTGCTCTGAAACCAAATACATGTCGTGTACTTTTTACAAAAAAAAAAAGAGGGGGTTATAAAATTTGTGGTAAATGTGGATGTGTGTACGCAGAAAGGGCGGGGGGGGCTGCGCTTTTGCCTGATGCTCAAGAGCTGGGCAACCAAATTTGGTTTCCGACCATGTCACGCTGCTTGTAAATTTTTTTTTTATCTGGGGGGGGCCGGGCCCCGTTTTTGCCTTTACTGCTTCCAAAATTCAAAATCCGGCCCAACGCTGCCGCGCTGCTTTAAATTTTTATAAGTAACACCGAATTATTTTCCCTATAAAATATGAAAAATGGGCAATGAGTTCCCAGAAGAATCGATTATCGTACAGCTCCTCTAGCTAGACATACAGAAACCTATACTTAAATTGGATAAAGAGTGTTAAAACCCCTTTCAAACCCCTTTCGTCCGGGATTCATAACTCTAGCCTTTAATTAAAACTGTGTTGGCTTTGGAAAACCATGTTATTTGGCAACCTTCTACTCGTATATGTATTTGCAGCACACTAAATCAAATTTTCAAGCCGCACATAAATTGAGTCCCCCCCGCACCGTCCCGCCACCACCCACACACTGTGGCACATTTAGAGCATTTGCATAATCAGAGTCAAGTTGGAAAAGTCGACCACATTAAACCCGCCATAGCCTTGAGAAAAGTTTCCCTGTGCCAGAAGCATCAGTCAGTTCCACAAATTTGTCCTCCAAGTAGAACAACCCGTACATACATAAGTATGTAGGGGTATGTTGTATATTGTAGATGTTTATGTACAACATGTCGTATGCGCAACATTTTCAATTAAAACCGCAAAAGCTGTCGGCAATCCCAGCCCCAACGTAGAGTTAATTTGATCTGGTGGGGGGTATGGGGGTCGACTGCTGGGCGGCTGGATGCATTTATACACGCAGTAATTCTGTTAATCCGAAACCATAATAAACCGTTTGGAGATCCCCCCTAACCACACCGCAGCACACCACCCACCCCATCGATGTCTGTCCCTTTCTCCGAGACAAAGTTAAGTAAATTTGCAATTAAACACATTCATAATTTGCCAACAGCTAAATACGCTTAATCAACGCAAATTCAATCAAATTACGACGCTTTTAGGCAACAAAACGAAGTGGTTCCCCCACTCCTGCCCCTCCAACTACTACTCCTTCCTTGCTCGACTTCGCTTAGTGAACTCTTGGGTAAAAAGTTGTGCTCGTCATCGCTGATGGCTGGCTGATGGGGTGTGGGAGTGGGTGTATGGGTGGATGGGGGGCAAAGTGGAAGTACAAGTTACTCCGAAGCCACAGAAACATTTCAGGGCTGGCGACAGGCAGACAGGCAGAGAGAGACGAGACGAGACCCCTGTTGGCCTGTTTTCTCGACTATAGTTGTCAACCTCATGTTGTCTGTTTGAGGGTGGAATGAGAGATGACAGCCAGATAGAGATGGGCTAACCACCAGACCTTCTGATTGCATCTCGCATTTGTCGAACCAACATCAAGGCAGAGCTACGAGTAGTCGAGCAGTTCTCTAGATAGAACAGCAGAGCCACCGGCTGTGCTGGCTGGTGCTGTGGTGCCTAGTCAATAATAATGATTGTTATTAAGTTATGCATAGATGTGGCAGGCACTTTAACCGGCTGCCAACTGGTGGCAATAATTCAGGAGCAGAGTCAAATGTGGCCTGGATGTGTGTATGCCGCTGAATGCCGTGTTTGCCCAAAAATATACAAACAAGCATCTCCCCATGCATTTGCCATGACAAGGTCGAACACTGCTGCTGCTGATGCTGCTGCTGCTGCCAGTGAATAGATCGACCTGGATGCCACACACTTGTGCGTCTTGCCTGAGTGTCTTTCCATGCCCGGGTTGTCTGCCATTTGGCCTCCTTATTTACACTTGTCTCCCCTGCGCTGAAACCGATTGCCAGGGAATGTGCCATGTTCTGTGACCATATGTGACACACACACACACAACAATCCTTCTGCGTGGCTAGGCGGCATGGCACAATGTTCGCTCTTCCAGCTGTTTCTGGGGATACTGGGGGCGGGAGCCACTGTCAGCCTTTTGTGTGAAATTCTCTTAATAAGGGATGACTGCGAACCGAACCACCGAAATTGTCTAGGACATGGAGCATTGTTCGCCCCTGCACCATAATTGAGGGTGAATGAAAAGTGCATTAGGACCGGAAATACACTCAGAAATGAAACAGAAGTGAGAGAGAAAGGGAGTGCTACAGATCGATATGGGTTGGGCTTTTCCGCCCAAGTTTTGCTCTCGCTCTTTTGGTCAATTGCGACCTAAATTTGGCCCTAATGAATTCGATGGTCCGATTGACTCTTTTGGGGGGGCCACAGCTGCCTGGCTTCCCTGACGCACATAATCATTTGGCTCCATCCTCCCCATTTGGTGACCTTTTATGCGGATCACATACACAAACTTCCCCAACGGTAGCCGCTTCCTTCTGGCGACATCAAACGGGCCCAAAGTGATACGGAAAATAAATCAAAAGCATAATGTGGCGACGATGCCACACACACAAATTGATGTTGACATCAGCAGCAAGACATTTTGTCGAGGCTTTTAGCTAAGCTTTTTTTTTGTTCCTTGTGCCAAGCTGCATGCAATTTATAAAATTTTACAGTACATAAGACAGCCAACCCCGCCCCCACATTGAAGGTAATGAGTGTTGTCGTTGTATTTGTCTTGGGTTGTTTTCTGTGTGTGCGTGTTGTGTTGTGTACGTGTAGCACATGACGTATGCGCAATTTCATTTATGGTTCGTTTGCTCGAACTTCCAGTGGCATCTTGTGTTGCCTTAGCTATAGTTGGTGGATTGGATGATGCCGTACCGTGCCACAGGAGTAGAAGAATAACACAGACAACGTACGACACAAGACGCACAAAACTTTATCCTTAACATCAAGACTTGAGACAAGGAGACAGGAGACAGGAGCCACAGAGACAAGACAGGACAGGACAGGACACTGTTTTATTGGCTCCACTGTTCGCTTACAGTCCCTTTCCCTTCGTGTTGGGACTGTTTTTACTTTTTCTTGGGGCTGACTTCCTCATGAATAATGCATTCACAATTAAGCCAGTAAGGACTACGAGAGGAGAACCCCAAAGGAAGAGTGGCCATAGCTGCTCCTCACTGTTCTGCTCTGCAGTTATTATTATGCGAATCGCTGGTTGCCGTCTCCTGGCTGCTGGCTGTTGCCTGCTCCTGCTGCCATTTGCGTTGTTTTCTGGCTCTAAATTTAGCAACACGCAACACAAACAAACAGCACAAGGAGAGAGAAAAGTACCGAGAAGTACGAGAATTACTTGCCACTCGGACAACAATAACCCGCCCGAAAATCGCCCTCCCTATTTTTGGTTTGGGTTTGGGTTTGAGTTTCGGTTTTTCTGCATTTTAAAATATCAAAGTTTAAGCACAGTCTCTTGTAAAAAGGCACCCTACCCACTGACGTTCTTTGTATCCTATTTTTCGTTCGCTCTTATGTATCCCGCTGTGCGGGTGGCAACGTTGCAATCAGTGCCCAGAGAGGGGTCTCTCTCCTCTCTCTCTCTCTCTCTCTCTCTCTCTGTGGCATGTTTGCCAAAATGATTTTACACACTCGACTGTGGACGACTGTGGTCACTGTGCTCTCAGGGCAAATGCATAGTTCAAGGCGCAATCTTGCAGCTCGTAAATTGCTTAAGTCCCGTCAAGGACATGTGCTCGAACAAGAATGTAATATAAAAGGCACAGCCACTGGCACCGGCAGGTCGGTCTGCAGCATGTTGTTCTCTTCCTACTTTTGCTACTCAATTATTTTATTCAATCAACAAGACAAGTTTGTATCTCACAAATTGCTTCTACTACAGGCCCCCCCCCCCATTCACAAACGGAAATAAATTTACAGAAAAAAAAAATATATATAAATAAATCTTTGTTTATGCAGACTAGTCCAGACTAGTCCATCAATGCAATGTGCATCTGTTTCAATTAGTCTGCTGCTCGTATAAATCAATTGGTTTTCCCCAAAGGTTCTTTGACTGCTGGCCAAGGACCTGAATTGGCTTTCTGCTACATCTGGCGGGTGGGTGGGGCCAGGGGCAGGGCACTGGTACCTGACGTTAATTAAACCAGCATCGAGAGAAGTCTCAATCTGTGGGGTGTGGGGTGGGGTGGGGTTTGGGTTGGAGCGTGTTAATCTTGCGACTGCATGTGTCTCCATTAGACCGCCGTGAAGCGAAGCGAATGAAGACAAATGCCACACTCGACCGCAGGGCAAGCTGCTCGCCTGTCATCACCATCCATCCATCCAACTAACCAACCAACGACACAACCTCATGTGGCCAGCCATTAGGTAGGTGGTGGCATGCCAGAGATCAGCTTGCCACCGCTGCTCTGGGCGCAAATGGAATTAGCTAATTGCAAACGCTCTCTTTCACTCTCTCTCTCTCTGCCAGTCAAGGTGAATGTTGACAGTGGAGACACACACACGTGATGGGTAGTGCTGAAAGATGTCATAAATTACAAGTACGCACCTCTCCCAGGACAGACGACGGGGCGCATCCTCGCCCAGACCCAGACCAAGTCCCAGACTCACAGCCGAGGTGTCACCAGGCGGCGGCTGCAGATTGGATCTGCCTGCGAAGCCACTTGATTGATGCAGCAGCTTGGCCAGGCGAGTGAAGGTCGTGCCCGAGCTGGAGCCAGAGCCGGATGCAGATGCCGATGCCTCGACCAGCGGCAATTCGTGGAGGGTGTGTTCTCTGGCCAGCGGTGTGGTGGCCTCCGATGTGGCTGCGGCACGCTTTCTGGCTGCCAGACGATAGGCACGCGCTGCCACCACATGTGGGGCGGGGATCCTGCCAAAGTTAAAGTCCAATTACAAATGAATGCAGCCCCGGGAGAGGGTATGTGTTTTAATCACCTGAGCAGCAACGAGCCATCCGCATGGCACTCAAAGTCATCCGACAGCTGAAACAACGAACTGTCCCCCAAATGTTGCTGTTGCAGCTGCAATTGATGCTGTTGCTGCTGTTGGTGTTGGTGTTGCTGCTGCTGCTGCAGTGTTGAGTGAGTCGTTTGGTGGTGGTGAGGAGTGCTGCCCGAGGACTTGCGCCGATACACCAGACTGCTATCATCCTTTGGCAAATTCAATGACTTCACCATCAGCGTGTTGTTGTTGTTGGCCAAATGGGTGTTGTTGTTGTTGTTGGTGCTGCTGCTGCTTGTGGCACTGGTCGTGTTGCCAGGATTGCCGCTGCTGGTGCCGCTGCCGGTGCCACCACCACCACCGCTGTGTCCGGCACGGGTGAGCAACGACCAGCGATGTCCACTGGCGCTGCCACTGCGGCTCTTGCTGGCCAACAGTCGCTCGTCTGTGGGTGGAAAATGCAAAATGAAAAATAAAAAAATCAGTTAATGGAGCGCGCATTGATATACTCGAATGCAAGGGTTTTTTCTGGCCCTCCTGCAAGCTGCACTCTCCCATAATTTGTGTGTGCACACTCGTATGTACGAATATTAATCATAACTCGAGCTGAAAACTTGTCAAAAGTTTTTAATTAAATCTTGTGCCAGAACATGTCGTGGCCACGCACGAGCCCTGCGGCTCGGGTAAACTCTGGGAGAGCCATTTTCCATTATTCCGTTTTGTATATTTTTATTCCCTTGCCCAGAGGTTGAATACTTTTTTGCTAGAAGTGTGCAACGCACATTAAAGAGGGGTAGCTGGTGCTCTAGCTGCCAATACAATATATTGACAAATAATTTAGGTGCCATCATATACCATACATCCATGGACTATCTCTCCTATCTACTGGATTATTGAATGCACAGCCACAACCAATTTGTGTTTCCATCATTTTTGTGGTTTCCTTGGCAGCAAATATCTCTGCATAGAACAAACATAATATGCAGAGCCAAAGTAGCGATGGTTCATACAATAATTTCACTCGGAAAACTGTTTCAATTAGTAGTTTAATTTTCCTATATGAAACTGTCTAATGCTACTAATGTAGTGCCATGTTTAAGCCCATATTTGTTCCGATGAGAATTCATTCACGAAAGGTACTCTATTTATAAATTTAAATTAATTCAATTCAAATCCAATAAAAATAATAAATTGGATAAAAATGTCAGTAGATGGCAGTGGAATTTTCTATATAATCTACACAATTTTCCGAAGCTTCTAGCCTTTCGTTTAGGTTTTTCCTACAAAATCGCTTCGATGTGATTGTTTATTGACTTTTTTTTTTTTCGTTGCATCGCAACGAATGTTTACACGGAATTCATTCTTTACCCTCTGATCAATCAGCAAATGGCCATGGAATATGATTCCGTAGAAAACCAAATAACTACACTTTGCTTAAGCTCTCAGACGCAGTAGGATTGATAGACCCAGAGAGAGAGAGAGAGAGAGAGAGCATAAAAAGGGAGAGAGATTTCTACTGACAGTTTGTTTTAAAATGAAATTTAAATTTTTTTATTCCATGGCATTCCATGGCATGGTCTTGACGAGGGACAACGGCTAAGGCGATTATAGATGGTAAATCAGCTTATGGCCCATAGCAATGATGGACTGCCCTTGACCCGATTTGAGTTGCGAGAGCCATAATTTAATTCCAAATCCATTTTGAGCAGTAAACAAAATGTTATCTCTATTAAAATGTTTCATTCGGTGCGCGTAAGTAACTCAATTATAATTTCGCAGGCACGAGTATGTAGATGTACGCACCCAATTGAAATGTTTGCTTATCCGTGTGCAGCGAGACGACCGGAAGTCCTGGCACAATGATGGCGGGCAGTGTGCGCGACCGTAACAATGGTGGCGGCAGCTTGCGGCTGCCCGTGCGCGATTGTGACCCAGAGCCGCCACCGCTGCCAACACTCGCACTGCCACCCGCAGCGGCGCTGCTCTGTTGGGCCCTGCAAAAAGAGAGACAGAGAGAGAGGGAGACAGAGAGTGTGAGAAAGGGTGAGAGATGTGCAAAAGGAAGTGACAATAATAAGTTAATGCAATTATATATTAAGTGCGACGAGTGGGGTGTGTCAGCAAGGAAATGCAATTAGTTCTTCCTACGATTTTCTCCTCCATTGTCATGGATGCCGTTTCCGTTTCATTTGCATGTCCGGATGCCCCACTTGCTCACCCATGCCCATGCCCATTCCCATTGCCATCCCTTATTCCACCTCCTGCATCGAGAGTGTGCGAGTGTCAGCTGTTGATTTGCGCATTTTTTTTTCGCTCTCATTCGAATTACATTTGATTGTTGTGTGGAAAATTATTTCCAGCACCTCTCAACTTCATTCACATACCTCCCCCTCCCCTCCACAGCTGGTGGTGACAGCTGCCACCCCATAAGCTCCTGCCCGCCGCACCCACAGTTTGTGCAGCTTGATGTGTGATTGAATTTCTGGCACTTGAATGGGATTCCCAACTTGACGCCTACGCCAGATGCGACATGGGGGCTCGGCTCGTCTCGGCTCGGCTGTGCTGATGGACCAACCCCTACCACCACCCCCTCTACCCTTGTGCTCCTCTTGAACTGCACCCATATTGCGATATTACATATTTCCGTATGCAAAAAGGAGAAGCTGCAGAAATGGAAAACTTTTTATTTGATTTACTCTGACTTTGACATTTTGCCAAGGCTCGCCGAATATCTGTCAGAGTTCGACACAAGTTGGCAGCTCCATGTCCCCGCTCTAGCTCGGAATTGTACGCTATATTGATGATGATACACAACCAAATCGGACTGGGAATTGTTGTTGTGTGTTGTGTTGTGTCGGGCTGTGCTATGTGGGAGCTGCCAAACGAACCAAAATCAGCAAAGTTTTTCGGCAGCTCCTCCCCCCACCCAAAGATCTCCCAGCGAGGGGCAGCAGGATAATACTTTCAATCGCACACTCCTTCATCTCTACTCCACTGACAAGAGCTGCAGCAAACTTACAGCGAAAAAGAATCATGTAAGCAATTTATTTGTGTCCTTGCTGTAGGAGGGGTAAGCGGTGGGGGGCGTTGGGAGGACTGGGAAAACTTGAGGAAAACATTCGAAATAGTTACAGCAGCGAAAAGAACAGCAACAACACACAATGTCCACACATAAATAAAACAGAAAATTACACAACGCTTTAGCGGGAAAAGTTTAAGTTTCTTTTTCTCATTTTTTCTCTCTTTTTTTTGTATATTTTGAGCACTGTAACGCCTCTCGTCTCGGCTTTTGTTTTATAGGCCTGGTGTGGCAGGATGTTAAGGCACTTTTGAGTGCGTTAAGCACAGGGGCACATCAAAATTGTGTGTGTGTGGCAGCAGCCACTACCCACTAAGGGTGCAAGCTGTTACAGGTCACAGCAGGGAGCAAGCAAAAGTCTACAGGAGTCGGCGGCATATGGGCAAGGGAGCAGTGTGGGCGGCCAACCCACTCACATAACTCAAAGCGGATCTGCATAATTGACGTGAAATACTCGTAACCGTAAATCGTGCATTACCCAACAACATTTGCCACCTTTTGGTTAAACAAAAAGGGGGCACAAAAAGAGGGCACACGGCATGGCAAAGGAAAAAGGTTAACATGCTGCCAGAATTGCCAGTAAAAATGCTTGAAGATGGGCGCCACATAAAAGTTAACAGTCTGATAATGGAGTCATGCGTGGAGGGCGGAGGAGCAAAGTCGTTATTTAATGAGAGCAGGAAGTCGGCCAGGAGTGCATGCCAAGAAGATCAAAAGAAGTGGGCTATACCCTAAGGGTATGTATGTTTAAAAATCATTTAACCCCACTAGTCTCCACCTTAGTACATCTGCTACACATTTTGTTTCCATTGTGGTGCAATTCTGTTTAGTGGAGGAAGTTTTCAACGTGAAGAACCAGGCCCTTTAAAACGGAGTCTTCATTTTTTCCTAATCTATTTTCCAGTAAGTACTTCTGAAGCTCATATTTCCTTGGTTGCTCTCAGGTTTCCTTAGGCATTAATTTTCCTCCACTCTGGTCCCCATTTTACTTTTCATTTGCCTTTAAAATTCTCACTTTTATTTTTTTTTAATCAGGAAGCGAATGCCCCCTCTTGTTATTCATTGGGGAATACCCTCGAGTACTTTGGTATATCCTCGGCACAGGTTTTCATTTAGCTGAACATACTCCTAATTCTATTAGAATTTCTCTCTCTCTCCCCTAATGATGATCCTTATGCCCATTTGCATGCGCCAGTTAAGGGACTTCTGTTGACACCTCGGACAGCACCAGTCGAAAGGTAATGACGTTTTCCACTTGCCGGTCGCCGCCATATACATTGGCATTACCTATGGCTTTATTACAGTCGCCTAACTACGGACTGGGCAGGGGCTGCTTTAATAAATATGTTCTCCCCTTCTCCGTTGTCTGTAAAAAGGGCAACTAAGCCGAAAGGCTTTGCCAAATTACGCATACGCAATGTGTGCCCTGTAATCCAATGTGTGTGTTGTGTGTGTGTTGCCCGCTCATGTGTGTGTGTGTGTGTGTGTGGGTTGGGTGGGTCGTGTAATTGCATTTGGTGCTGTGTTTACATGTGCGTGCATAATTAGAGCAAATGTTGCTCGTGTAATCAAATCATCGGATGGCAGCCCTTTTAGTCCCGGCTGTGTGCTGCTCCTTTCGGATTCCATTTTGAATTGGTTAAAGCGAGATATTCGTTCTTTAAGAAACCGCCAACCCACTTGAGCTACCGTCTCCGCCTTCTGCTTCTCCCTGCCCTCTCCTTCAGCGGATGGCGGCCCGTGCCTAATTGAGTTTGTCGCTTGGCATTCTTTCAGAGTACCCGCTTCCTACCCGCCTCGTCCGGCGTCCTGGGCTGAGGCAAATGATGGGCATGCGGATGCCACAGCATAAGAAGCATTTTCATTACGACGATGCAGCAGGGCAAACAGCAAAAAAAATGTCGAAAATTTACTTTGCAGCTCACAAAGAGGATCCGTGCAGAGCTAAGCAATAAACGAAGAAAATCTCTAACGAGCTGCGTTCTAGAGTGTTCCTAGAACACAAATGAGAAACGGCTGCAGGACGTGCATGGGAATTGAGATTGGTTGGATTCGGTTGCCACGCCCCCTCGTGCCCCTTACTGGCCACACTACTGCCCCGGGAAACTAAAGGCTGAAGCCTTCTAGGGCCAAAATACACGCGATATTTATCAGGGTATTCGAGGGTCCTTCACACAATGCATTCAAGTGCATTCTGCCAGCAAAGTGCGTCGCCTTAACTCCCATGTGCTGGCTGCTTCAGCCCCCGTGCACCCCGAAATTTAATGCACGCCCCCCATGCCATGGCAGAACAGAGAAAAGTGCAAAAATAGCAGGTTCTATTTATATCCGTTCGCGTTTGAGTGCAAAGGGTAAATGGTAAATGGTAATCGGGTAAACGTGAAAATGTTAAAGCCAGATGGAAGCTTTTTTGTGGAATACCAATCCGTGTCTGTGGCTCCTGGATCCAGGAGAATTTTCAGTTAAATATTTCCACAAAATAAGATAAATTTTCTACTTATCTGTTGAATCCCCCTTTTCAATCGGATATTGCTTAATGCCACACGATTAACAATTTAATTGGGTCTTTCCTTTGTCTTTCAGTTTGAATTTACGCATTTATTTTCGACTTTAAAGCTAGTGCCACAGAATTTATATGGACATCTGATTAGTGTTTATTTTATGGTCGATGCATATCGATTCTGCTTTCAGTTAGTTTGTTGCAAAGTTGAAAGTTTGTTTGATGGCAAAGAAATCGCTTTTAATTGCGGCCAAATCCTCAGTTCAAACAACTTGTTAAATCTGTTTGCCATCGCCTGACTGGATGGCTGGCTGACAATTCAATGGGCCTGGTGCGCTCAGCCAAATCCTTGCAAATCCCATCAAATCCCCCTGCTCCATGCCCCACCCAATGGTTAAGTAATGGCAAACATTCAACTTACTGTCGCTCTTTGCGCTGCTGTCGCTTCTTCTTGAACGCCTTACGGACGCGCAGGAGTAGGAATGCGGCCCGATCCACGGACAGTGTGGTGCCGCTCTTCTTCGCTGGTCCTGCTGCAGTCTCCTCCATCTTTCTGTGTGTGGCGACTGCTGTTGTTGTTGCTCTTGTACTTGTGGTGTTTCTTTGTTGTTGGTTGCGGCTGGTGGTGGCAAGTTGTCTTCTGTGTCGTGTCTGCTGCCAAAGCTCAAGCTCAAGCGGGGCTGCTGCCGCGGCAGTGCCGTCTAGGAATACTTGCGCACTTGCCGACAGACATTTGTATGCTCCAGGCGTAGGTCCTGCTCCACTCTGTCTGTGGTCTCCTCACTTTTGGCTTATGCTTCTTGTGGGGGGTGATGGTTGGTTCCTGGTGCTACACTTGCTCTTCTATTACTTTGAAACTCATCATCCTGTGTGCTGCAGGAAGCGAGAACAAGGATATATATGAATAAAGACACACACACACACACACACAGTGGAGTATTTGCATATCCTGACGGCAGTACGTGACCCTGTTCTCTCTGTCTGACAATTGCGTGGCAGGAAGCAAATAATATTTTGTTTACTTGTCGCAAAAGCACCGTCTCATCCACCCATCCTCCCCGCCCCCTTTTCCCACTCACACACTCCATCAGACAAGTCCGGGCAAAAGTGTAATATGCATTCATACGATATTGTTTTATTTATGATCTCCCCTTATTGCTGCTTAGGTAAGTTGCAAATTTCTTTGCGTTTTACGCATTTCCATAAACGAATTTCCCTGCCAAGCCAGCGGCAGACCAGGACAGGGCCATTTGTCATGACACGCAGTTTAATACCCCACTGTACCCACGGGTATATGGTGTTTCTTTCGATCCCATGAGTGCCATGTGTGACATATATTTATTATTGTTAAATTGAGAGCATACTCATCCTTAAAGTGCACAATTTTTGGTTAGTTTTATAGCCTGCTCGCTGCAAGTATTTTAATGGATATTATCCGGCAATCTACCTAAAACTCATCTCTCTCAAACATGCATTAAAGTCAGTTAAGCGTAGAGAAGAGTTTTATGCCAGCAATGCATAGCACAAGATATCCTTTCTCTTTGTTTTACGCATATTAAATTCCACTTTTGCACAAAAGAAAAAATAAAGCAAAACTAAAGAGCGGTTAAAAGAGTTCCTTTTAGGTTTCCGCTTCTCTTGTTTTATTATCGGCAAATACAAATTTAAATTCATGCGGCTCCTTGGGTGGAACTTTAGCTGGAACTGAAGCAGGTCAAGAACTTAGCGGGGCGGCGGGAGGATGCCCCCTAAGTGAGGGTTTATTTTCGGGCATTTGAGCTGTTTGACGAGACGATGGCTTTCCTTAAGAGGTGACAGCATCGTCAGCCACTGTCATTGTCATTGTCATTGTCAGCTTCATTATCATAATCGTACCTTTTTTTCCAGATCAATTACGGATTAACTGTCAGCTTTATTTGTGTGGCCGGGTAAAGGGGCGATATCCGAAGGTGGAGTAGGGAAAAAAGGTAATCCGGAGGAAACCATGAAAATGAAAATGAAAATGGAGTACGTCCCCTTGAATAAAGTTGGATGTCTTCAGTGCCACCTGCTTTCCACCTGCTGTCAGGCAAGTGACTTTTGTGTGAGCTTGAGTGGATTTTGAGAACATTTTAGAGCACTTACGACACAAGACACACACACACACACACAGGCACGCAGACAGACATAGAGACAGACACTCAGAAGTGTGGTCTGTGTGCGACAGTTGCCTTGATAAAGGATAAGAAATTGCTTCTCCCCCTCCCAGACACACGGCGAACGGATTCCAAGCCAAGGGACATCCCGCAAAGCGGCTTAATGCTGCTCGTCGGCTAACTTAATATTGACACATTTGCTTGGCCACAATTGAAAACTATTTACGAGCTGTAGCTGAGCTCAGCTCAGCTGCAGAATCTGGCCGGACGTGAAGGTGATTATGCCAAATCTCTGTCCTTGGCCAAGTACAAAGATCCGACACACCAGAGGCAGGATGTGGGTCACATACTCGGCTAAGCAGGCTCAAATCAAGCGAAAGCATTCCATTTTGATGAGGGTGATGGTGATGAGAACGCTGATGATGGGCCCAAGACAGGACAGCAATTATTTCTTGTTTCTTGATTTGATAATCACAGCCGGCAGCTGTCAAGTTCAGTTGGAAGTCGAGTAACTGCCAGCGGGCTGTGCGGGGGGGACACGGCAGGACAAGACAGGACTCCAACTTTAGCCAAACTTTTTCCCGTTGCTGACTTAAACATGCAACTGGAACTTTCGCTTGAATTTGCTTCTAGCAAATTATTTCTGACTCAAACTCAAACCACCGACACCTCTGGCAGGCAGAAACTGTTCAAATGGCAGTTGGCCAGGCCACAGACAGGCAAATGCAACTGTCAGGCTTCCTCCGTGGCATAATTTCCGAAAATGTACCCGCAACTTACAACTACGGCTCGATGATGGAGGCGAGCCGCGGATCTGGGCATCGAGTTAATTGAATGTCATGCCAGGCCCCATGCCCCATGCCCAGACCCAGTCTGAAGCTCATTTCCGGCCCGCCTCTGGGTCCGACTTGTAGCATAATTTTCGCAATTTGACTTTAAAGTCAATCATTTCACGCTCTACTGGGTCCTAGACGGCAAAGGCCAGCATCCTTCGCAGGTGAACGAAGGGAAAGGCGAAACGAAGGGGGACCAAAAACCCAAACCACATCAGTGGCACGTCACTTGCACTGCTTCCGCTGTTGATTTATTTGCCATTACTCCAGTACGTGACCAGTCGGAGCCATCCGTCTCCAAGCTGCTGTTGCTATTTGCTGCTGCTACGAGCGAGCAAGGATGCCATAATTAAATAACAATTTGCCAGCAGCGGACAAGGAGCGGAGAGACAGAGAGTGCACGGTTCGTACCATAGCCGGGCGTGGGGAGCCGGAGCCGAATCTCCCAGTTGGCCAAGAGTGGCATTAGGAGCCGCGCAAGTGTCGGACATAAAGCGAACGCCAACAAACTCCCTTTATAGCCAACACACACATTCCGAAGTCTCACCCTCACCCATACCCTCACGCTGGCACTCGCGCTTTTCTTTTGCATAATTTCCATTGAAAGCAACAGAGAGAATATCTGTATATACACGTTCCCTATATATCCCTATATATCCTATATATGTATGTGCTATGCCAGCTTGTAACTAAATGTTATTCCATTTGGCTAAGGCCAGACTTCGCCAGAGTCCAGAGCAAAGAAAAACATGTAAGAAGCAAGCAGCCCAGCCTCGCAGGTCGAAGCATAACATACCCTGAGGATTAATGGGCTCTATGGTCGATGTACACTGACTGCATGGTACGATAAAGGACATTCTTTGGCAACCTCTGACCCAAATCACATCACTTTAGGTAGTGTATTAAAAAGCGACAGAAACAGAGCAGGAAATGAGTGTAAATTTATGCAGAAAGTAATTAAAACTGCCGTTGTCCTGCTACATTTCCAGCTACAGATGTGTCTGCTGCTCCTTCACGAGGACAGAGAAAGACGCAACGTGGATAGGCAGGGGGCGTGGCCGGCATTGTGAATGGGCTCTGAGATGTTTTTGAGGATTTGTTGCGCTCGTAAAAGTCAAATTTAATGAAGTTGCAGCATAAAAGTAGCATAAACACGAGCCAAGTGCCTCGATGACCTTTGTTCTTTGTGCTTCGCACTCGTTCTCTTCCTTTTTTGAAGTGCTCGGCTCTAAGTGGTTTCCCCGAGTGTTTGTCTCTGTCTTAATTACTCGGCTTTCGTCCCATTGTCCGCCGGTCACAAAGCCAAATACCAAAACACCTTAAGCCAACAGCCTCCGCTTCTGCCTGTGCCTGTGCCTGTGCCTGGGCTCCCAGTGTACTCCACTCGCTCCTGCTAGGTGGGGCATGCAGCAGCGAAAAGCACAATCAATTTCATTGGGAGTCAGCCACACAATACAAGGACACGCACACCGTCCTTCCTTGCGGCTGGCAGCCCGCTTCCACCCACTTAATTTAAAGGACTAATTGTCAACATGCCGCATTTGCTACTCGCTAAAGAGTCTGTGTGTTTGTTGTTGTTTTTGTGTGTGCTGGAGGCATGGCAGGCCGCCTGAGGCAACTTAATTGGCATTTCGTCGAAGCGTATTGTTAGCAGAGAGAGCCAGAGCGAGAGAGAGCTCCCTGGAGCTAACTCAAACTGAATGGGAACGGCTTTCACCATCAAATTTCCACACTCCAATGGAGACCACAGAGACTGTGACTCTCCTGAACTGAGTCCCATTATATGTTATCAACGTCTGGAACATCTAATTTCTGGCTAATTGTCTCTGGCCATTCGAGAAGCCTTTGGCCTTCTTTCGCACAGACATCGAGAGAATATGAGTGGCTTTATCCCACACAGAGGACTTCATGCCCCCCTGCTGCATGCTCGTATCTAAGCTAAACACTCGGGGAACACCTAACCAAATGGCCTTTTGAGCTCATTGTTTGCCCCAGACTGCCCCCAGGCTCTGTGTCTCCACCGATACTGGCACTAGCCAGTATTCTCCCTCTGCGCTGTGCCTCCTTCCCCGTTTCGTGCTGCTATTGTTGTTGTTGTTATGTCTGTCATTGTCTGGTCATATCAAGGCAGTTGCCAGTCATCCAGACGAGGCGGCTAAGTAGAATGTGTTTGGCCTCATCCCATCTCATTCCATCTCTCCAAGGGCCGCAATATTAACACTTGAGTACAATTTCAGGGCGCTGGCGAGAAGCATTTTGCAGTGTAAATAGCCGGGGCCAACACAAAAGCCGTTAAAACAAAGCAGGCCAAACGTGCGATGAGCGACAAGGCGAGCGTAAATAATGCGGGAATATGCGACATGTTAACAAGGCAACGCCTTAAGAGGATTGCCGTAGGACAGGCAATGGAAATGGATTGAATTGGCTTGGCTTGGCTTGGCTTGGCTTGGATAGGATAGGGGAGTAGATTGGATTGGGGTGCGGAGTGTGAAGTGTGAAGTGTGGGTGTGAAGTGGACTGTCGGAGTTACAGTTTTCCTGTATTTATACATTTTACAGGGCTCGATAATAACTAAAAACCACAGAGAGCAGAATATGCCAGAGCAGAGCGCAGAGCAGAGCACAGAGCAGACAATATTATGTAGACAACGGTTCGTATGAATGTTCTCGGGCGTCCAGC